TCACCACAGCCTCAACGTCCCTTTGCAACCATCACAAGCAACGTAAATACCAAATCGACCCCTGTCATTTAAATCCCCACTTTTACCCAATTTACTCCTTTTCCACCACATAAACATCATGTTCTCGTATGTTTTTCAGTACGCAGACACAGACGAAGGAAATGTCTCCATTTCTCTTCTTCCCTCCACGACAAGAGACGGAGGAGCTTCTCGCTTACTCCATACCCAAATGATAGTAACTTCGGATCTGCTGAAGAGAAACCCTCGTGCTGGAGATAAATGATATAAAATACCGATACAATGGAAAAATATTCATAAATGCAGAACAATGCAATCCTCTGTTAACTACGTTTCGCCCACACAGTGGACTTTATCAAGTCACAAACGGATCTGTTTGTGACTTGATAAAGGCCACTGTGTGAGCGAAACGCAGTTAATAAAGGATAGCATTATCGTGCTTTTGTGTCTAGTTATCACGTTACTTGATATCCTCATCGCTTAACCAAAGTCTTCCGGCTGACGCTGGCAGTTTATACTATGTTTTATTTCCACGTTACGATTTCTTATAAAATATGGCATAACAGTAATAATAATAATAATATAATTATTATTACTATTTTTTTAATAAAATAATTATTGTTTATAATTAATAAAAGTGCATATAATAAATGATTCTTGGTATCAGAGCACCGAGGCGGCAAGACCATGGGAAGAGTGTGCACCTTCAACGCTCAATTATAAGAGCAAATTGTAGAGTCACCAATGTTGCAATAACAAGTACCTCCAATTCCTTGAATCAAGAGCCCTTCACTGTCATCTACGCTGTGCTTTGCCAGTGATTCGTTAACAAATAAATAAGCAAATCCTTGACATTTAATTTATGGAAAGTATGTATAAATAATTTACCCGGAAATATTTAAAATAATTAAACCAGAGTTAATATGGTAATTAGCATATTTCCAGGAAAATTATTATACAAGTTTTCCATAAATTAAATGTCATGATTTTGCTTATAGTTAACGAATCACTGGCAAAGTACAGCCTAGATGATAGTGATGGGCTCTTGATTCAAGGAATTGGAAGTACCTGACTTTTCTTTGCGTAAAAACTAATTATGTTACAGTATCCAGGTGTTGTATGGCTACTACGGGTTTGGTAATTTTCCAAATCAGATACTTGGAAAAATGCTGCAGCCGTCACTATTAAGTCACCACAGCCATAACTCATCCCACACTGGATATGCCACTTAATTAACCTTTTTTTTTATATTCCTGTCTACCCACAACTTTTCTTGCTGCTCTATCTTACAGCAGTACTTCCCAGGTCTTGCTGCTCTATCTTACACCAGTACTTCCCAGGTCTTGCTGCTCTATCTTACACCAGTACTTCCCCGGTCTTGCTGCTCTATCTTACACCAGTACTTCCCAGGTCTTGCTGCTCTATCTTACACCAGTACTTCCCAGGTCTTGCTGCTCTATCTTACACCAGTACTTCCCAGGTCTTGCTGCTCTATCTTACACCAGTACTTCCCAGGTCTTGCTGCTCTATCTTACACCAGTACTTCCCAGGTCTTGCTGCTCTATCTTACACCAGTACTTCCCAGGTCTTGCTGCTCTATCTTACACCAGTACTTCCCAGGTCTTGCTGCTCTATCTTACACCAGTACTTCCCAGGTCTTGCTGCTCTATCTTACACCGTACTTCCCAGGTCTTGCTGCTCTATCTTACACCAGTACTTCCCAGGTCTTGCTGCTCTATCTTACACCAGTACTTCCCAGGTCTTGCTGCTCTATCTTACACCAGTACTTCCCAGTCTTGCTGCTCTATCTTACACCAGTACTTTCCCAGGTCTTGCTGCTCTATCTTACACCAGTACTTCCACAGGTCTTGCTGCTCTATCTTACACCAGTACTTCCCAGGTCTTGCTGCTCTATCTTACACCAGTACTTCCAGGTCTTGCTGCTCTATCTACACCAGTACTTCCCAGGTCTTGCTGCTCTATCTTACACCAGTACTTCCCAGGTCTTGCTGCTCTATCTTACACCAGTACTTCCCAGGTCTTGCTGCTCTATCTTACACCAGTACTTCCCAGGTCTTGCTGCTCTATCTTACACCAGTACTTCCCAGGTCTTGCTGCTCTATCTTACACCAGTACTTCCCAGGTCTTGCTGCTCTATCTTACACCAGTACTTCCCAGGTCTTGCTGCTCTATCTTACACCAGTACTTCCCAGGTCTTGCTGCTCTATCTTACACCAGTACTTCCCAGGTCTTGCTGCTCTATCTTACACCGTACTTCCAGATCTTGTGCTCTATCTTACACCAGTACTTCCAGGTCTTGCTGCTCTATCTTACACCAGTACTTCCCAGGTCTTGCTGCTCTATCTTACACCAGTACTTCCCAGGTCTTGCTGCTCTATCTTACACCAGTACTTCCCCGGTCTTGCTGATCTATCTTACACCAGCACTTCCCAGGTCTTGCTGCTCTATCTTACACCAGCACTTCCCAGGTCTTGCTGCTCTATCTTACACCAGTACTTCCCAGGTCTTGCTGATCTATCTTACACCAGCACTTCCCAGGTCTTGCTGCTCTATCTTACACCAGCACTTCCCAGGTCTTGCTGCTCTATCTTACACCAGCACTTCCCCGGTCTTGCTGCTCTATCTTACACCAGCACTTCCCGGTCTTGCTGCTCTATCTTACACCAGCACTTCCCCGGTCTTGCTGCTCTATCTTACACCAGTACTTCCCAGGTCTTGCTGCTCTATCTTACACCAGCACTTCCCCGGTCTTGCTGCTCTATCTTACACCAGTACTTCCCAGGTCTTGCTGCTCTATCTTACACCAGCACTTCCCAGGTCTTGCTGCTCTATCTTACACCAGTACTTCCCAGGTCTTGCTGCTCTATCTTACACCAGTACTTCCCAGGTCTTGCTGCTCTATCTTACACCAGTACTTCCCAGGTTTGCTGCTCTATCTTACACCAGTACTTCCCAGGTCTTGCTGCTCTATCTTACACCAGTACTTCCCAGATTCTTGTGCTCTATACTTACACCAGTACTTCCCAGGTCTTGCTGCTCTATCTTACACCAGTACTTCCCAGGTCTTGCTGCTCTATCTTACACCAGTACTTCCCAGGTCTTGCTGCTCTATCTTACACCAGTACTTCCCAGATCTTGCTGCTCTATCTTACACCAGTTACTTCCCATGTCTTGCTGCTCTATCTTACACCAGTACTTCCCAGGTCTTGCTGCTCTATCTTACACCAGTACTTCCCAGGTCTTGCTGCTCTATCTTACACCGTACTTCCAGGTCTTGCTGCTCTATCTTACACCAGTACTTCCCCGGTCTTGCTGATCTATCTTACACCAGCACTTCCCAGGTCTTGCTGCTCTATCTTACACCAGCACTTCCCAGGTCTTGCTGCTCTATCTTACACCAGTACTTCCCAGGTCTTGCTGCTCTATCTTACACCAGCACTTCCCAGGTCTTGCTGCTCTATCTTACACCAGCACTTCCCAGGTCTTGCTGCTCTATCTTACACAAGCACTTCCCAGGTCTTGCTGCTCTATCTTACACCAGCACTTCCCCGGTCTTGCTGCTCTATCTTACACCAGCACTTCCCAGTCTTGCTGCTCTATCTTACACCAGCACTTCCCCGGTCTTGCTGCTCTATCTTACACCAGTACTTCCCAGGTCTTGCTGCTCTATCTTACACCAGCACTTCCCCGGTCTTGCTGCTCTATCTTACACCAGTACTTCCCAGGTCTTGCTGCTCTATCTTACACAGCACTTCCCAGGTCTTGCTGCTCTATCTTACACCAGTACTTCCCAGGTCTTGCTGCTCTATCTTACACCAGTACTTCCCAGGTCTTGCTGCTCTATCTTACACCAGCACTTCCCAGGTCTTGCTGATCTATCTTACACCAGTACTTCCCAGGTCTTGCTGCTCTATCTTACACCAGTACTTCCCAGATCTTGCTGCTCTATCTTACACCAGTACTTCCCAGGTCTTGCTGCTCTATCTTACACCAGCACTTCCCAGGTCTTGCTGCTCTATCTTACACCAGTACTTCCCAGGTCTTGCTGCTCTATCTTACACCAGCACTTCCCAGGTCTTGCTGCTCTATCTTACACCAGTACTTCCCAGGTCTTGCTGCTCTATCTTACACCAGTACTTCCCAGATCTTGCTGCTCTATCTTACACCAGCACTTCCCGGTCTTGCTGCTCTATCTTACACCAGCACTTCCCAGGTCTTGCTGCTCTATCTTACACCAGCACTTCCCCGTTCTTGCTGCTCTATCTTACACCAGTACTTCCCCGTTCTTGCTGCTCTATCTTACACCAGCACTTCCCCGTTCTTGCTGCTCTATCTTACACCAGCACTTCCCAGGTCTTGCTGCTCTATCTTACACCAGCACTTCCCCGGTCTTGCTGCTCTAATCTTACCCAGCACTTCCCCGTTCTTGCTGCTCTATCTTACACCAGCACTTCCCAGGTCTTGCTGCTCTATCTTACACCAGCACTTCCCAGGTCTTGCTGCTCTATCTTACACCAGTACTTCCCCGGTCTTGCTGCTCTATCTTACACCAGCACTTCCCCGGTCTTGCTGCTCTATCTTACACCAGTACTTTCCCGTTCTTGGCTTCAACTTTATTGCTTAATAAAAGCTAAAGTAAAATAATAGGAATAATGTTTATATTCGTTATAATGAAACACATTGGAATAACTTTTCGCTCAGGGTAGATCTTCATCAAGTTTCGATGAAGATTTATCCTTAGCGAAACCATGTCCCAATAGAAACATTGTATGTAGACTTGCAATGTTAATGTACACTGTACCCTGAAACAGAACAATGTATCTTCCCGTTCTTGCCTGCTAGGCAAATCACTTAAATCATAGTTGTGTTTTGCTAAATCCCAACGGAAGACCAAGCCAGATTTGATATTACTGACCTTGGGTGAGCGTCACACAGCACCTAGAACACAGCTTACCAGTTACCTGAGCCGTGAATGGTAGTCTTCAGAGACGCAGTAATGAGTTGTGTATATCACTGTGGACTACTGGAGACAGCACCTCGCTCCGTCCTGTGTGTGTGTGTGACTGTATGTATCAGTGTTTGTATCCTGCTGACAACTGCCAGTAATGACGCTAGGAGCTGATAACTCTGGTTACGTCCCTTCCGCTCCCTGGAGAGTGAAGCAATATTGTGAATGTCAGCATTCTTTTTACCCTAATGCTACATTACCTTCATACTGCTTCAATCTACTGTACTATCTTGTATCCTATCCATGTATTATTTCCCTCTTTCTTATCCTAAACTGCATTCTCTTATTCCCATGAATCTTAACACTTAATTACTTCCCTTCACTCGAATAATAATTAAACTAAATAACTTGATTCTTGTGTACCATACCCGTGTATTCTTTCACTCTCCTGTACCACGACACTGCATTCTTTCACTCTCCTGTACCACGACACTACATTCTTTCACTCTCCTGTACCACACTACATTCTTTCACTCTCCTGTACCACACTACATTCTTTCACTCTCCTGTACCACGACACTGCATTCTTGCACTCTCCTGTACCACACTACATTCTTTCACTCTCCTGTACCACACTACATTCTTTCACTCTCCTGTACCACACTACATTCTTTCACTCTCCTGTACCACACTGCATTCTTTCACTCTCCTGTACCACACTACATTCTTTCACTCTCCTGTACCACACTGCATTCTTGCACTCTCCTGTACCACACTACATTCTTTCACTCTCCTGTACCACACTACATTCTTTCACTCTCCTGTACCACACTACATTCTTTCACTCTCCTGTACCACATACATTCTTTCACTCTCCTGTACCACGACACTGCATTCTTGCACTCTCCTGTACCACACTACATTCTTTCACTCTCCTGTACCACACTACATTCTTTCACTCTCCTGTACCACACTACATTCTTTCACTCTCCTGTACCACACTGCATTCTTTCACTCTCCTGTACCACACTACATTCTTTCACTCTCCTGTACCACACTGCATTCTTGCACTCTCCTGTACCACACTACATTCTTTCACTCTCCTGTACCACACTACATTCTTTCACTCTCCTGTACCACACTACATTCTTTCACTCTCCTGTACCACACTACATTCTTTCACTCTCCTGTACCACACTACATTCTTTCACTCTCCTGTACCACACTACATTCTTTCACTCTCCTGTACCACACTACATTCTTTCACTCTCCTGTACCACACACTACATTCTTTCACTCTCCTGTACCACACTACATTCTTTCACTCTCCTGTACCACGACACTGCATTCTTGCACTCTCCTGTACCACACTACATTCTTTCACTCTCCTGTACCACACTACATTCTTTCACTCTCCTGTACCACACTACATTCTTTCACTCTCCTGTACCACACTGCATTCTTTCACTCTCCTGTACCACACTGCATTCTTTCACTCTCCTGTACCACACTACATTCTTTCACTCTCCTGTACCACACTGCATTCTTTCACTCTCCTGTACCACACTGCATTCTTTCACTCTCCTGTACCACACTGCATTCTTTCACTCTCCTGTACCACACTGCATTCTTTCACTCTCCTGTACCACACTGCATTCTTTCACTCTCCTGTACCACACTGCATTCTTTCACTCTCCTGTACCACACTGCATTCTTTCACTCTCCTGTACCCTAACACTGCAATATTTCACTCTCCTGTACCATAACACTACATTCTTTCACTCTCTGTACCATAACACTACATTCTTTCACTCTCCTGTCCATAACACTACATTCTTTCACTCTCCTGTACCATAACACTACATTCTTTCACTCTCCTGTACCATAACACTACATTCTTTCACTCTCCTGTACCATAACACTACAGTCTTTCAGTCTCGTTCACCATAATTCTGCATTCTTTCACTCTCGTGTACCATAATTCTGCATTCTTTCACTCTCGTGTACCATAATTCTGCATTCTTTCACTCTCGTGTACCATAATTCTGCATTTTTTTCACTCTCGTGTACCATAATTCTGCATTCTTTCACTCTCGTGTACCATAATTCTGCATTCTTTCACTCTCGTGTACCATAATTCTGCATTCTTTCACTCTCGTGTACCATAATTCTGCATTCTTTCGCTCGTGCACCATAACTCTGAATTCTTTCACTCCATGCACCATAATCATGCATTTTTTCGATCTCGTGCACCATAACCCTGCATTCTTTCACTCTCGTGTACCATAATTCTGCATTCTTTCATTCTCGTTCACCATAACCCTGCATTCTTTCGTTCTCGTGTACCACAATTATGCGTTCTTTCATTTGTGCACCATAACCCTGTATTCTTTCACTCTCCTATTCTCTACCAATGCATTCCTGTATCACCACACACTGTTGCACCATAACACTGTACCACCACACACACTGTTGCACCATAACACTGTAGCACCACACTGTTGCACCATAACACTGTAGTACAACACTGTTGCACCATAACACTGCACCACCACACACACTGTTGCACCATAACGCTGTACCACTACACAGTTGCACAATAACATTTTATCATCACACACTGTTGCACCATTACACTGTATTATCACACTGTTGCACCATAATACTGTATCACCACACATTGTTGCACCATAACATTGTATTATCACACACACTGTTGCACCATTACACTGTATTATCACACTGTTGCACCACTGTTCCACTATAACTCTGTACCACCACACATTGTTGCGCCTTAACACTGTATTACCACACAATGTTGCACCATAACACTCTGACATCACACACTCTTGCACCATGACACACTGCCATCACACACTTTTGCACCATAACACACTGTTGCACCTTAACACTCTGCCATCACACACTTTTGCACCATAACACACTGCTATCACACACTGTTGCACCTTAACACTCTGCCATCACACACTGTTGCACATAACACACTGCCATCACACACTGTTGCACCATAACACTGTATTATCATACACACTGTTGCACCATAACACTCTGCCATCACACACTCTTGCACCATAATAATGTATCTCAATTGTGACGTGCACCTTGCTCAGTTGTGACGTGTACCTTGCCCAGTTGTGACGTGTACCTTGCTCAGTTGTGACGTGTACCTTGCCCAGTTGTGACGTGTACCTTGCTCAGTTGTGACGTGTACCTTGCTCAGTTGTGACGTGTACCTTGCTCAGTTGTGACGTGTACCTTGCTCAGTTGTGACGTTTACCTTGCCCAGTTGTGACGTGTACCTTGCTCAGTTGTGACGTGTACCTTGCTCAGTTGTGACGTGTACCTTGCTCAGTTGTGACGTGTACCTTGCTCAGTTGTGACGTGTACCTTGCTCAGTTTTGACGTGTACCTTGCTCAGCTGTGACGTGCACCTTGCTCATTTGTGATATGCACCTTGCTTAGTTGTGACATGCAACTTACTGAGTGAAGTCATGTCTAGTGCGCTCTTTGTGGAACTGAACCAAGATGTCCATAATCGCCCAACTCTACCTTCAGCTTAAGGAGGAGCTGGGGGTGGCCAAGCTCGAGATACAGCGATTGACAGATTTGTAGTAATCCTCCTGTTGTGAATCCTCAAGTCAGGAAAGGAACCTGGACAGTTGCCGGATATCATAGAACAAAACTAAGGATCAGGATGATGGATGGAGAGGCAGAAACTACGAAAAAGCAGGAGTCTACTATGGGAAATTCGTAACCATTCTCCGTGCTATCCAACGAATGTGAGTCGATTACTGGGAACGTCACGACGAAGAACAATAAGGTATGAACATTATGCTTGTTGGGAACAGTCAGATTAGGTACATGGATATGGCCTTCTGCATGAAGGATAGCGGTAGGAGACAGAGGGCTTGCTTTCCTGGGGCTGGGACGGATGATATTGTTAGCCGGCTTGACAAGATCATGAATATTAATGGGCTCAGTCCTGTTATCTACCTCAATGCTGGAGGTAATGATGTAGCAAGGGTAGAAGTGATTATTTTGTTAGAAGGTATAGGACAGCAATAGGCATAATTAGGAAGAAAGGGGGCGCCATGTTATATGTGGAATTTTGCCTAAAAGAGATTTTGAAAATGAATGGTTGTCCAGAGCAAGTAGTATTAAATGTTGGCTGGACAAACACTGTAAGGATAATGCAGTACCATTCATTGAGAACCGGTACCACTTCTACGGTAGAAATGACATGTATGCCAGTGATGGTGTTCACTTATCCAGGGCAGGTGTGGATTTTCTTGCTAGCTCAGTTGAGGGTGTTTAGGACTTTAAACTAGGATTAGTTAGTGGTATGGGTTTTGGAATGGAAAATAATGAGTTTGGAAATATTGACTTAGGCTTTGATATTATGAATTTTAATAATAACAGTCGTCGAGTAACACTGGGTAATGATAATAACAGAAATTGTGCAAAAGCACCTGAAATAATATTAATTAATTACTTTTGGTAGCATGTTCTGTGGACTTTGGTGTCATTACAATAAAGGAATCATGGTATCATTGAAAGAGACGAGATATGATTGCCGAGTGCCATGCTCAAGGGTTTAAGTTGTTCTATGTAGATAGATATAACGGGAAAGGGGGTGGAGTTGCATTGTAAGTACAAGAAAATATAAAGTGTTGCTTGAAAAAGGTTTAAAAATGGATGGATTAGTAACAGAATCTGTGGGGGTAGATTATATAGGTTAAGAAAAACTAATTCTATGTGTATACACAAATAACCAGTACATAGGAGAGAGGAACTTACGACGACGTTTCGGTCCGGCTTGGACCATTCACAAAGTGACTTAATAAATGGTCCAAGTTGGACCGAAACGTCGTCCTAAGCTTCTCTCTCCTATTTGCGGGTTATTTGTATATTGTTTCAGTCACGGTATTATGCCTTTTTGCTATTTAATTCTAGGTACAATATACCGACCTTCAGGCTTGGATCACCATAGACGGAGACTTCTTTGGGACGAAATTGTTAGGGCTTCTAGACACAATAACGTAGTGATAGTAGGGGATTTAAAACTTGACTCAAATTGATTTCACTTCTTTGACTGGTAATCTGGATCTCAATG